AAATTTATGGAGGGTTTGAGTGAAGATCTGTTGGTTGAAATCCTGGCGAGAGTGCCCGTAAAACCTTTGCTCCGTCTTAGGGCCGTTTGCAAATCATGGAAGTCGACGATAGGCAGCCCCGAATTGAGGTCCTTGCACCTCTCCACAAACCGCGACTCCTCCAAAATCTTGCTCACCACAAAATACCCAATGCACGTCGCGGGTCCTTGTGATCCCGTAGAGTGGTACTTGTTGCTTGACAACGATCAGCATCGCCCTGCCGACCATTCCTGGTTGGCGCCTCTCCATTTCCCGTTCGCATACCCACACTTGACCTCTCCCCACATAGTGGGCTCCATCAGTGGCTTGATATGCGTATCGTTATCCCTAACGTCTGTGGTTGAGGTGCAAGCCAACATACCCATCATTCTATGGAACCCTACCATCCGGAGGCACGTCTGCCTACCCGACCTCACTTTGACCAAACCAAATTACTCGTCCATCGTGTTTGGATACGACCCCACCACAGACGACTACAAAATCGTGGTCCTTACACTCGGCAAAGCCCCAGAGTTCAACGTCTACTCCTTGAACTCAAACACGTGGCGCAGAGGTTTCCATGTGTGCCTCGACCGCCAAATAAAGCTTACTAGCACGGGGGCTTTCGCGGGAGGCAAGATGCACTGGCTCGTCGAGTTCAAAGATTTTCAGAAGAACACCTGCCTTTACTCGTTCGACGTGGCGGAAGAGGTTTTTGCAGAGGTGGCCTTACCGCCACAGGATCCAGCTGTCACGTGTGTTTTGCCTCAGGTTGCTGTACTGGGGGACTCGTTGCTTTTGGGACAGGCCTTGAACTCCAAATAGAGGATGTTGGACTCTTGGACCATTTGGGTGCAGATGGGCGCCGGCGGCTGGAAGAAATTGTACAGAGTGGAGGACCCAATGGGCATGCTGAATGTGTTTGTGTGTGTTTTGAAGAATGGGGAGTTGGTAATGGACAAGTACTATTATCATGGCAATTCTTATGGCTTAGCTGCACATGACCCTAAGGCTGGGCAGTTTAAGTTCTTGGAGGACTTGTCTTTCTCTCGGCAACGAGACTTTGGGGGTGTGGCCTCTCTCAGTGATCACCAAGAGAGTCTCGTCCTCATCGACTGCACGCCGATTGGTGACCCACAAGCTAGTTGTACTTGGTCTTGCCAAGTTCAAATCAAAAGGAAGACACCCTCGGTTCCCGACAAATTACTAGCAAGTGCGGATTAGATACAAGTACGTACAATATTGTGCAGTTCTCGAGCACGTTAGTTTTGTATTATAATGTAGTTAATCACTAAGAAGAAGATTTCTGTGTTCTCTCACTGTGGTATCTTATAAAGTCTACCATTTTCAAAGATCGAGTCTAATGAGTTGGAGCTGCGTAAGTAAATCCGTTGGATAGCTAGCTCTCTTGCGACCTTCGTTCAAAATTTCCTTTTGTTAGCTGCTGTGCGCGCGACCGTCGATTCACTTGGCCGCAGTTTTCCGTTCATCCCCATGAGTTGTGGGGTTTGTTGAAATCGATTTTATTCGTTTTGTGTTATGAGCTGATACGATTCCATTATATGCGCGTGCTTGTGTGTTGATTCGTCAAGTTTTTAATTTTTCCTCTTTTTTCAGGATTTTTATATGTGATTATTCTGCTGGGTGACTTATCCAAGAATTTATTGTTAAAAAAAAAAAAAAGGGGTCCCTGTTCAGAAATTGAATTGAATGCCTACAGTTACTCTCTAATCATTGCCGGTCGAATTTGATATTTTGTTTATAAAGTTGTGCGTGATGAGGAGCTTCATCCCATAGTACCATCATGATTCCTTATTCCAACTTACTCTTAGTATGGCTATATCACAGTCCAAGCATTTAATCCTTTCCACAAGATTTCGAGTTAACCAATGTATTCATTTGAATGAGACAAGATGAAGCTCACACATTTGTTTAAACTGCTTCACTCATTTCACTAGACTTCATCCTTTACCAAATATGTCATTGAACATGTGATGGAATAATTTTAGCCGTCCCGAATACATTCGGCAAACCAAGAGAAGTCCGAGTCCGATATTATTTATAACAGTCGGCATGTTCCAGTAACTTTATTCCTCTGCAGTAGAGGCTCCAAAAGATAGGGCCACGAAAGAACTTCCACAACTTAAACTTCAAATGATTTATAGTAAGAATAAAGTTACAAGTCGAAATAAGAGCATAAAGATTCTCTAATCATTAATGGCAGATATAAACATGAGTAACGTCAAGCCGTCAACATAAAAACCTTATTTTTTTCTCAGTAATTTCTACCTATCATGAAATCTAAGCACGGATTAATAAAAAAGAAAGAAAATATGGGTTTCACCACCAGGAAAAATCTTCTATAATTCCAGGTAAACTGCTGAAATGAGACATTAAAACAACCGTACAGGTAAATAAAATTTTGTGAGACTTTGAAATTGTTGTTGTACTTATTGCCTGAGTTCTCTACATCTCGACATTAAAACAACCATACAGGTAAATAAAAATCTTCGATATGTATTGTAGCCCGTATATGGAAACATTCTTATATTCCAAGTATAGGTACGTTAACATAGAAAGAAAAAGAAATAAGAATCCTATACCGAATATGAGTTTAGACTAAATTTCCTATACCGACTATACTTGTCTATATAATATAAAGGATAGGTGAATCACACATACATAAATTCCATTAATTAATTGGAAAAAAAAAAAGGTTATGGAGGGCTCTCCTTCCCTCAATGAAGATCTGCTAGTTGAAATCCTGGCTAAAGTGCCCGTAAAAGCTTTGCTCCGTCTTAGGAGCGTATGCAAATCATGGAAGTCCATCATAGCCAGCCCCGAATTCTGTTCCTTTCACCTCTCCACAAACCGCCACTCCTCCAAAATCTTGATCACCGCACGAGACCGTGGACACACTAAGAGACCCGAAGAGCGGTACTTTGTGCTTAACAACGATGAAAATCTCCCTTTCGACCCTTCCTGGTTAACCCCCTTTGATTTCCCCTTCCATTCTCACCACATAGTGGCCTCCATCAACGGCTTGATATGCGTATCAACGTCTGAATCGGATTTGGAAGTGCAAGTCAACATACCCTTCATGCTATGGAACCCTACCATCCGGAGGCACGTCTACCTACCCGACCTCACCTTGACCAAACCAGATGAATCGTCCATTGAGTTTGGATACGACCCCACCACAGACGACTACAAAATTGTGGTCCTTACACTCCCTGCAGAGTTCAACGTCTATTCCCTGAACTCAAACACGTGGCGCAGAGGTTTCCTCGACCGCCAAATAAGTCTAATTAGAAGCACGGGCGCTTTCGCAGGAGGCAAGATGCACTGGCTCGTCAGCAAAGATTTTCAGGACATGATTTGCCTTTACTCGTTCGACGTGGCGAAGGAGGTTTTTGCAGAGGTGGCCTTACCTCCGCAAAAGGATCCTGCAGCCACGATTATTATGTATCCCCAGGGTGTAACTGTACTTGGGGATTCGTTGGTTGTGGGACAGCAGGCCTTGAAATCGAAGAACGTGATGTTCGACATGACTTGGATTATTTGGGTGCAGATAGTTGCCGGTGGCTGGAAGAAATTGTACAGAGTGGAGGACCCAATGGGCATGGCGGCTACTGCGTTTGTGTGTGTTTTGAAGAATGGGGAGTTGGTAATGGACAAGTACTATTCTCATGGCTCTTCTTATGGCATAGCTGCATATGACCCTAAGGCTAGGGAGTTTAAGTCTTTCTGTGAGCAACGAGACTTTGGGGGTGTGAAGTCTCTCAATGATCACCAAGAGAGTCTCGTCCTCATGGACTGCACGCCGGTTGGTGACCCACGCGCTAGTTGCTCTAATTGGTCTTGCCAAGTTCAATTCGAAAGGAAGACACCCTCCACGCTAGTTGCTCTTGCCATCCTCAAATCCAAAAATTAACTAGTGCGGAGAGATTAATTAGATACAAACGATATTGCGCAGTTTTTCACGAAATAGTTTTTTCTAATTATTATAATATTGATGTTAATCAATGATGATCTTGTAGCTTTTAAAGTTGATGGAAATTGTTAATCGTCTCTTATAATTCTGTAAATGTTTTAGAAGTAGTTATATCAGATTCAATTAATCATGAATTATAGTTCCATAACTGTTAAAATTGATAAACTTATATAGTCGAAAAATAATTAATCATGAATTATAGTTCCATAACTGTTAAAATCGATAAACTTATATAGTACTATTTTCATCGAAAAATAATACATTGCTACTATACATTGAACTGCGCCATAGCTTGAAATACACTTGAACCGTAATACTTTTTCATTTTTAACCGTAATACTTTTTCATTTTTAGGAGTATAATTTTCAGCATTTTTAGTAAGTTCTATTTTTTAATTTGTGCTTATATCTTAAATTTTGTAATTTCATTTTTGTTATTTCCCAAATAAAATGATGATGTGGCCGAATTAATTCCTGACGTGCGATGTCAAATTACTTCTTGTGTGATAAGAATCCCATACCGACTATGACTTTTAATCGACTTAAATTTCCTATACCGACTATAATTGTCATCAATATAATATATAAAGACCAGGTGAATCACACATACATAATTAATTCCATTAATTAATTGGCAACAAAAACAAAAAAAAAAAGAATTAATAAAAGTTATGGAGGGATCTCCATACCTGAGTGAAGATCTGTTAGTTGAAATCCTGGCGAGATTGCCCGTACAATCTTTGCTCCGTCTTAGTACCGTATCCAAATCATGGAAGACCATCATAGCTAGCCCCAAATTCTGTTCATTCCACCTCTCCACAAACCGCAACTCCTCCAAAATCTTACTCACCGCACAAGACCGTGGACAGGGTGGCGTCGCCTTCGGTAAGAGACCCGAAGAGCGGCACTTTCTGCTTAACAACTATGAAAATCTCCCCGCCGACCCTTCCTGGTTAACCCCTTTCGATTTCCCCTTCGAATACCCAGACTGGACCTCTCACCACATCGTCGGCTCCATCAACGGCTTGATATGCATATCCCAGTCGCTATCCTATTTCCCGGATGCGCAACCCAATCTACCCATCATACTATGGAACCCTACTGTCGAGAGGCACGTCTGCCTACCCGACCCAACCTTCAGTCTAGCATATAACGCATCCATCGAGTTCGGATACGCCGCCGCCACAGACGATTACAAAATCGTGGTCGTTAGGCAATTAGGCGAGACTATTGCCCCGGAGTTCCACGTCTATTCATTGAACTCGAACGCATGGCGTGGGGGTTTCGAGATGTGCCCTCCCGCGGCCGCCCCTGTGAGGAATATTGAAGAAAGAGGGGACCGTCGAATATTTGGTAGCACGGGTGCTTTCGCGGGAGGCAAGATGCACTGGCTTGTTAGCAATGATTATGAGATGGAGCCGTATTGCGACACCCTTTACACGTTCGATGTGGCGGAGGAGGTTTTTGCTGAGGTGGGCTTACCTCCGCCACCTGAGGAAATGACTCAGCTAATTCGCGGAACACCGCGGGTTGCTGTAGTTAGGGACTTATTGCATGTGGTACAACCCACGCTTATTACCTTGCAAATGTACATGTATTGGACAATATGGGTGAAGATGGAGGATGCTGGATCTTGTGATATGTACTGGAAGAAATTGTACAGAGTTGATGATGTGACTGCTGTGTTTGTGTGTCTTTTGAAGAATGGGGAGTTGGTGATGGATAAGGACCCTAACTTCTCCAGAACTGTGCTCCACGATGTCCATGGTGCCTTAGTGGCATATGATCCGAGGGATGGGAAGTTTAAGGACTTGGAGCCTTTGTCACTCTCTCAACAACGAGCCTTTGGGAATGTCGAGTCTAGGAATCACCAAGAGACTCTAGTTCTCCTCGACCGAACGCTGATTGACGACCCACAAACTACTTGGAATACTTGTCAAGTTCAAATCGAAAAGGATGACAATTGACACCCCAACAACTGCGGCGGCTTAGATGTAAATAATATTAATGTGCAGTATAGTATATGAGAATTGTTTGAAATAGATTTTAGAATTGGTATGAGAGAATGAGAGAAGAATGGAATGACCATTCTTTTACTTATTCATTATCTTATGATTGGTATATTTTTTTTTTTAAAGTAATGACCATTTCGAGAATTGCAAAACTAAAATATGAACAATAATATATCTAATTAAAATATGAACAATATATTTTATTTATTCATATATAAATTTAATTATAATATAAAAAATTATATTTGACCACATATGCACATGGAGGTTTATGTAATGATATATTTGTATTAGTTAATATGTATATAAATATACAATTCCTTAATTTATTATAAAATATATATGAGTGTAACAATAAAAAAAATATATTTATTAAAATATAGTATATACATTTTTTTAAGAAATAAAACATTTTTATTATTATGATAAATAAAAAATAACATTAATATAAATATTATTTTCTTATAAAATAGTGATAAATGGTATAGAATGATAATGTCATTCCATTCAGGTCTTATTCCTTTTGTATACTAAACATATCAATAGAAAAACTTATTTCTTTCCTTTCCCATATTCATTTCACTTCTCAACTCATTTCATTCCTATCAAATTTCATTCCAATATACCAATCATGCATTATCCCTCCTATATATAATTGTAGAATGCGCTAAGTCTAATAAATAACAATATCGCATGCTTCGGAATCCTACTTGGCGAAAAAACATGTTTCGTAGTTTGGTTTAGATAAAAATACTATTATTCTGAATCAATAATTTTAGGTTAGAACATTCCAAAAATATTGAAAAACTAATTTAGTAATTCCATAATAGTTTGACTAATATAACCCTTGGTAAATTGTATTTGAACCTTTGGTATTGATTGACTAATATAACCTTGATTTGTTTTGAAAGCTCTCAATCGGATCACTAATTTCCATGAAAACCTCAAATTAGCCTAATAAATACATATATTTAATTTAACAAGTGTTGTTGTTATTATTATTTAATTTTAAAATTAATTTTCTTAACAAGTACTCGTGTAGTACACGGTTATTGTACTAGTTATGTGATTAAACCTATATCTATATCTTCATAAAGATATATACAATATTATTTCCTTAAATAATTTTATTAATATCTGTAATAATTTCATTGATATTCATTATAATATACTACAATATTGTTTCATCAAATAAGATTTTAGGATTTTATGTCCCCTAATCAGACTTTTCAGTGTCTTATTGTTTGATTAAATCTATATTTATATTTATATATAAAGATATATATAATTTATTATTATTGAGAAAAAAAATTATTGCAAAATAGATTTGGGCTAAGAATATCCTTATACTCTATAGGTACCTTAACAAAAAAAGAAAAAGAAATAAAAATCCTATACCGACAATGACTAGAAAACTATATTTCCTATACCGACTTGGACTATATTTCCTATATGGACCATACATTTCTATATAATAAAGGCCACATAGAAACACAAAAAAGAATTAATAAAAGTTATGGAGGCCTCTCCTTACCTGAATGAAGATGTGTTGGTTGAAATCCTGGCGAGATTGCCCGTAAAAGTTCTGCTCCGTTTTCGGACCGTATGCAAATCATGGAAGTCGATGATATTGATAGGCAGCCCCGAATTCAGGTCCTTGCACTTATCCACAAACCGCCACTCCTCCAAAATCTTGCTCAACGTAGTATTCCATTCTGAAGAGAAGTACCTGTTGCTTGAACAATGATCACCATCGCCCTGCCGACCCTTCTTGGTTGGAGCTTCTCGATTTCCCCTTCAAATCTCACCACATAGTGGGATCCATCAACGGCTTGATATGCGTATCAATGTCCCGAACGTGTGTCTCAGAGGTGCAAGCCGTCATATCCTTCATGCTATGGAACCCTACCATCCGAAGGCACGTCTACCTACCCGACCTCACCTTCACCAAACCAGGCATATCTAGACCGCCCATCGAGTTTGGATACGACCCCACAACAGACGACTACAAAATCGTGGTCCTTACAGTCCCTGCAGAGTTCAACGTCTATTCCTTGAACTCAAACGCGTGGCGCAGAGGTAATTTGCTTGTGCACCAGTGCCCCAACAGCAAAATATCGTTTTGTAGTACGGGCGCTTTCGTGGGAGGCAAGATGCACTGGCTCCTCTGCAAAGATTTAGTAGATTATGAGGTGGGCATGATGAGAAGAAGCTTCAGCCTTTACTCGTTCGACGTGGCGCAAGAGGTTTTTGAAGAGGTGGCCTTACCGCCACAGGATCCTGCAGCAGCCAGGTTTATTATTATTCCCCAGGTTGCTGTACTGGGGGACTCGTTGCTTGTGGGACAGCTGGCCTATAACTCACACAACTCTTGGACCAATATTTGGGTGCAGATAGCCACCGGCGACTGGAAGAAATTGTACAGATTCGAGGCGCGGACTTGGTTTGTGTGTGTTTTGAAGAATGGGGAGTTGGTCGTGGACAGGGGGGGCCAAGATGGTGGTCGCTATAGTTGCTTATCTGCATATGACCCAAGGGCTAGGCAGTTTAAGGACTTGGAGCCCTTGCCTTTCTCTCAAATACGACAATATTGGGGTGTGGTGTCTCTCAATGATCACCAACAGAGTCTCGTCCTACTCGACTGCACGCCGGTTGGTGAACCGTCACACGCTACTTGCTGCTCTATGTCTTCTTGCCAAGTTCAAATCAAAAGGAAGACGCCCTCGAGAGAAAAATTAACAAGTGCGGATTAGATACAAGTACAATATTGTGCAGTACTTCTCGAGCACTTTAGTTTTGTATTATAATGTAGTTAATCAATAGTAGTCTTGTAGTGTATAGCTTTTGAAATTGATGAAAATTAAATTGATTTTTCATCTCTTGTATTCTATAAATGTTTTAGAAGTTGTTACATTATTAGATTCATTTAATCATGAATTATAGTTCCATATAACTGTTAAAATTGATAAACTTGCGTGAGATATATATTATTCTTATATCGAAAAATAACACAACACTACTAAGGAAAAAAAAAAAAGGTTATGGAAACCTTGAGTGAACATCTGTTAGTTGAAATCCGGGCGAGAAAGAAAAAGAAATAAGAATCCCATACCGACTATACTTCTCTTCATAATATAAAGGCCAGGAGAATACATACACATACATAAATTACATTACTTAATTGGCAGCGAAAAAAAAATATATTAATAAAAGTTATGGAGGGATCTCCATACCTGAGTGAAGATCTGTTTGTTGAAATCCTTGCAAGATTGCCGGTACAATCCTTGCTCCGTCTTAGGACCGTATCCAAATCATGGAAGACCATCATAGCCGGCCCCAAATTCTGTTCATTCCACCTCTCCACAAACCGCCACTCCTCCAAAATCTTGCTCGCCGCAAAATACCCTAAGCAGGTCTCGGGACGTACTTATCCCGTAGAGCGGTACTTGTTGCTTGACAACCATCACCATCGCCCTGCCGACTCTTCCTGTTTGTCACCTCTCGATTTCCCCTTCCAATACCCACTCTTCACCTCTCCCCATATAGTGGCCTCCATCAACGGCTTGATATGCGTGTCTGTACGTGCGGCTAATAAGGTGCAACCCAACATACCCTTCATGCTATGGAACCCTACCATCCGGAGGCACGTCTGCCTACCGGAAATCACCTTGACGAAACCAAATTACTCGTACACCGAGTTTGGATACGACCCCACCACAGACGACTACAAAATCGTGGTCCTTACAGCTGGCATCCCAGAGTTCAACGTCTATTCCTTGAACTCAAACGCGTGGCGCAGAGGTTTCCTCGACCACCGAATAAGGCTATTTAGTAGCACGGGCGCTTTCGCAGGAGGCAAGATGCACTGGCTCGTCTTCAAAGATTTTCAGAACAACACAGACTACTGGCTTTACTCATTCGACGTGGCGACTGAGGTTTTTGCAGAGGTGGCCTTACCGCCAAAGGATCGTGCAGACACGTTTATTTATCCACATGTTGTAACTGTACTGGGGGATTCGTTGGTTGTGGGACAGGCCTTGAAGTCGAAGCACGTGATGTTCGGCATGACTTGGACCATTTGGGAGCAGATAGGCGCCGGCGGCTGGAAGAAATTGTACAGAGTCGAGGACCCCATGGCTGCGTTTGTGTGTGTTTTGAAGAATGAGGAGTGGGTGATGGACAAGATCTATTTTGGGTGCTCTGATCATGGCTTAGCTGCATATGAGCCGAAGGCTAGTGAGTTTAAGTTGTTGGAGCCCTTGTCTAGTTTCCCTCAACAACGGAAATTCGGGGATGTGGCGTCTCTCAATGATCACCAACAGAGTCTCGTCCTCCTCGACTGCACGCCGCTTGGTGACCCACACACTTGTTGGTCTTGGTCATCTTGCCAAGTTCAAATCAAAAGGAAGACACCCTCGGCCCTCGGCAGAAACTAACAAGTGCGGATTAGTAATCAATAATAGTCATGTAGCTTTTCAAATTTATAAAAAATTAAGATGATTTTTTGGGTCTCTTGTAATTCTATAAATGTTTTAGAAGTAGTTATATTAGATTCAATTAATCATTAATTACAGTTCCATAATTGTTAAAATTGGTAAACTTGCATGAGATGTATACTATTTTCATCGAAATGCGGCATAGGTTAAAGTATACTTGAATCGTAATACTTTGAAATGCGACCAAAAAAATCTAGATTTGAATGTTACGTACTATTTTATATTTATTAGTTCTTTTAAAATACATTAAATTTGAATTTATATGCCAAGTAAATTTTATATTCTAGTTCTTAAACCACATTAAATGAAAGTTGATAACAAACCGATTTTATATTTTAGTTCTCGTGCACATTAGTTTTAGTGATAAAGCGGGGCAAAATAGGGACCACCTGTGCTTTTAGGCGAAAATTTATCTTTAGTCCACTATATGGTCATTTTATTTTTACAAAAAAAAAGGTCTTTTATATTGTGCATCATAAAAAAGAGAAAATTACACCACTTATCATCAAAAGCAATTTTATTTGCACACTTATTTATCATTTTTTTTTTTTTTGCAATTATACTAACAATTAAATTTTCTCTCACCATTTTTCTCTCTCCTTTTTACTAATTATTCTTCCTGTGATATTTTCTCTCTCTCATTTTTTCCAACGGTCCAACTTCCTCCATAGAGGCCCCACCACTCCCCCAATTCCCTCCATCACCCCCTAAAAGCCGGCGGCCTACACGAACTCCGGCCACGCCACACCTCCGTCGTCGAAGCTTCGCCTGATGTGCGGCTACGGTGGCCACATTGTCCCCCGCCCCCACAACAAGGCCCTCAGCTATGTAGGCGTCGATACTCGCACCATCGTCGTCGATCACTATGCCACCCTCTCCGACCTCCACCGCCGCTTCTCCAGGAGCCTCATCCGCGATCAACCTTTCTTTATTCCATTTTTTTTTTGTGAACTGGTGATGGCAGTATATGTTGCGTGTTTAGGCCGTATATGTTCAGTATATTCTGTATAAACTAATCTGGTATATATTATGTGTATATCTTCTGTATATATTCTGTATATATTATGAAAAGATCGGGTCGTATATGTTCAATATATTTTGTATAAACTAATCCAGTATATATTATGTATATATCTTCTGTATATATTTTCTGTATATATTATGTATATATTACGAAAAGATAGTGTATTTTCTGTTTCAGTACAAGAAAATATTAGAGTCAATTTGAGTATAAGATCGTGTAATTTCAAAATCAGATCCTTTCCTTTTTTTAAAAAACAGATCGTGTATATAACATCATGATGACCGAATTTATAGACTTCTCTTTTTTTCTTCCAAAACAATGAGCTAATAGCGTGATTATAGGGAGTGAATATAGGGAGTATGTTATTTTGGTAACTGATTCATCATTTTATTCTTCCATATTATATGCATTTTTTTTATGTACATATCCAAATAAAATCCTTCTCCTGGTAGGATTGCAGTTTCTTTTGTATCTTGTGGTAAGTAAAAAAATTTGCCATAAAAAATAATTCATTATGTTGCCACTTTAATCGAAACTCATCCAATTCTCGTGATGGATTGATAAAATGATGATTTTTCTTATTTAACTTTTTAGTAATTTGCAAGTTAGTTTAATTCAGTATATTATATTTAACTTTTTCTCTTTTTGATAGAACATCTTTATTCATGAAACAATATTTACTTTATATATTTCATTTTGATGAATGAATATAAGGTTTTCATTTGTGGCTATATTACATATTCAAATATAAAATAGTCACTAATTTGATGTGGCTAATCATAAATACACCTACAACTAATATTTGTTGGATTGAATATTATAATAAAAAAGTGTTGATTTCTGAATTTGTGACTAACATAAATACGTTGCCTTCATAATTAATTATTGTGACAATAAATTTTGGGTTCTTCTGACAATAATACATGTGGCTATTCAACTAAATTTTATGTTACAAAAGATATTAACTTCAAGTAACACTAATCACTAGTGGCTATAGAACTATATTTTTTTGTGACTGACATTTATTTTTAGTGACACTAATAGTGTGGGACAAGAACATGGAATTGTAAGTGACTATAAGACAAATTATTATGACAATAATATTTGTGACTAAATGGTTCAAAAGTAGTGACAAACCAACTCGTCACTATAATATCAGTTTATAATTACGAGCAATGTGTGTAACAAAAATTTGAATTTTAGTGGCGATACTTAATGTGACTAAAAATTTGGATCTAGTGATAATTATGGTAGTCGTCGCTAAAACTTTTAGTCACAGTATTTACAGCAACACCGTAGCAACGACTGGTACTATTGACACAAAATGATATTGTGACGACATTTGAACATATAACGACAAACATTACCACCACTAAAAATGATTATTCTTATAGTGGTTACAGCAGCTACATGGCCGATGGGCCTCGGCGGCCTGTGGTGACGGCTGCAACGAGAGCCTGAGCTGGGGATGGCGACGGCGACAGCCTGGGCTGACGACGGCGGTGGTCTGGTGGCGGCAAAGGTGGTAGCGACGGCTTGGTTGTGACGGGCACGACTGAGGGGGGAGGGGGTGTGATATATGTGTGTGTGCAATGTGTGTTTTAGGTGTAAGGTGTGTAAGAGAGAGTGTGTGTAGGGTTGTGGTGGGCCCCATGTGTGAACGTGTAATGTCTATTTTACCCATGTGTGACCACAACATGTACATTTATTTACGAAAATGTCACCCAATGTTCGACTGTCATATTTAAAGTTTGACTTGTGTTCGCTTATATTTTTAAAGCTCGACCGCAAGTGTACGGCTTCGCTCATAGTATGTGGCAAGCAAGGTCGTCCCAAGAGACCAAATAATTAATATATCAAGTACCAAATTATGATAGTGTCAACTTTATTTAGACGATCGAATATGAGATGGATTAGCTAAACTAAGAAAATAAATCAAAGGAAATAAAGCAAAAATAAAGAACTAGCTAGAAAAACACGTAAGAAAAATATATGAGAATAATAGATTCTAAGACTTTGGTTTCAATTAACAGTTGGGTTTCTTCAAATATATCACAACTAAATGTTTCCTTTATCCACCCTATAAGATGATCACAAATTTAGCTTACCGTCCCTCTCGAGATCGATAAAACTGTAGATTAAATCACATATATCAGCGTCTCCACTCAACACATGCAATTCAACTCCAAATAGATTAAAAGATCTAATATCCTCACGATGACATACTAACCTCTCGATTCAAGCAAGTAAATTGTGTCAAATATTAAAGACCTAATATTGAACTCATCTGTCGAATTATGAACAATATTGTCAAACATATAAAAGCATTGATCAAGTGCTAAACATGAAATAAGAGCAAAATATTTGAATAGGGTTCAAAAGAAAACAATCAATTTTAAATAAATCATCCAAAATCCCAACATATTAATCTACTATCAAGTCTTAGAATCAAATAATCTACCCGTTCATGTTCAAATTCAAATACATAGAAATATTAGAAATCGACATGATAAATAAAAGTTCAAAAGGAAGAAGAAAGAAAAATTAGGAATCTCGTCGATCTTTCAATCTTCTTGATCCCATTGTAGTTGGATCTTCTTTTGCTTCCCAATTGTTTCTCTTGTGTGTTCTAGGGCTCCTCTATTGTGTCTCCCACATTCTCCCCCTCAAAATAGGGTGAATATGTCTTTTATAATGTCCAAAACTCTTCTCCTTTTCAAAATAGGTAAGATATAAAAAACAGTCTGCGCACGCGACACGGCCAGTCTACCCGTGTCGCCGTCCGTGTCGCTGCCCGTGTCAGGTCCCTGGGCTTCGAATTCTCTCTGTTGAGGTGACACGGCCTCTGACACGGGCATGATGCCCGTGTTACAAATCTGCACTCTCATTTTTGCTCGTTTCACTCATTTCTTTTATTTTTTTCATCCGTGCATCAATCTTTCATCATCCCGGGGGTCCTAGGTACTCACCATGCGCCTCCAATAGCCGCAAGCTCTACAAATATGTGAAAATATCTACAAAACAAGCACGTGTAATATCTTTCAAACAAATAGAGAATTAAAGCACAAAAATGCAATTTATACACCAATAATGCAATGAATAAGCTCTAGATACTATATAAATATGGTGTAAAATCACACATGAACAACTTGATCACACCATTGACTTGATGGATCTAATGATCTATATTTGTTCTTATTTCTTTTACTATTTACCAAGGTTGTCAAAACTGGACCGGATCGGCCGGTCCGACCGGTTGAATCGGGAACCGGCCAGTTCACCGGTCCGATTCTATGGAAGAAACCGGTTGTGGCCAAAACCGGTCGAACCGGTTAAACCGTCTAAAAACCGGTTGGTTCAACCGGTCATTTCTTTTTTTTTTACCAATGTGGTCAAATAATTTTTATGTATAAATTCTAACACTTTTATAAAGCAACTAACTTTTTATGGTTACCGATGTGGGACAAGATGTAAGAATTCCAAATTTCCAATTGTAAAGGTAAATGACTAAAGCCACGCGTGGAAGGAATTTCTTTTCCCTTTTGGCTGCGCGTGGAAGGAATTTCTTATCCCATATCCCATCTTTATTTTCTATTATTTTATTGCCCAATGTGGGGGTGTGAGAAAATATTTTTTTTTTCTATATTTTTGTACTATCATTTTATTGCTTGATCTGTATATGGTGGAACCAACCTTTTAAAAAATAAGTCAACTATATTTAGTATTTATAAATTATTATATATTTAAAATATCAATAAATTAAATAACTTAAAAATTAAGTTAACTATATCTATGAAATATTATATATATTTAAACATATCAATAAATTAAATAACGGTCCAACCGGTTTAACCACTGGCCGGACTAGTGAACTATTGAACCAATAGCTTGACTGTTTCGATGACCGGTCCGGTTT